ACTTACATGTGAAGTGAAATAACAAAATTGTAATATACAATGAATCTAAGAGCATATTACTTACTTGCTGCAAACATTTACGACGCTCAACTCAAGTTAAACGGGCCAGCCTAGCGGATTTCGGGCTAGCCCTGACGGGTTTCGGTTTAAATGGCTCGGCCTAAAAAGCCCTGATTTAAACGGACTACCAATAAAAAGCTCTAACCCTGTTTTTTTCCAGGCTAAACGGGCCGGCCCGTCAGGCCAATGACCGTTTAACTTCTATAATTATGACCCGTGACCGGCGCAAAACAACCTATGGGCCGGTTTATAGAATCGGCCCGGAACCATCGGTTCACCGACCGGCTGGTCTCGGACGAATCCAGGCCGATACGCCCTTAAAAAAAAGAGCAATGTGACCCGCAATGCGGCCCGGTCCGGCCCGACGGGTCAAAAATTAAAAGTTTATGAACTGGAACCGAACCCCAATCCTATGGTTCCGGTTCAAGGAACCGGCCCTTAGGAGGACGGTTGTTGGCCGGTTCGGGTCGGGTCGGGCCGGAACCGGCACAGGCCGGTTCGGCCCGTGGACACGTCTAAGTGGATTGCTTAGTTATTTTGACCAACTGATAGTGTTAGCGATTTGTAAAATGATGTTTGGTAAATTAGCTATTTTTTATTTGTTGTAACATATAAAATTATTTTTAAGGACGTCAACATACTTTATTATGATTATTTATGCTGAACTTATAATCATTTTAAAAGTATAATTTTTTCAATGTTTAATATTCAATCAAGGGTCTTCAATCAAAAAAATATTTTTATTTAGCTTATTGTTTTCATTTAAACCTCAATAAAAGTAGAAATATATGTAAATAAAAAAGTAAACAAAAAAGTAATTTAATGACCAACAAATTATATTGGTTACCTTCCACATCCAAGTTACAATGAGGAAATAAAAAGGTAAAACAAGGAATTCTTTGAACAAAGCTATTTTACAGTGCTGATAAATAAAAATAAAAAATATAACAAAACTTCTCATATTGTTTTCTTCACGAGCTTAAGTACAAACACTCCTTCAACCAGCGTTTTTGGTTTGGCGGTTTGAGAGCCAAATGCTTACTCATCAAATTCAAACGATGATATTTTCAGTGGATTGAAGAAGTCAAACAAGTCAAACGTTCAAAATGCTAATTTTTAGTCCAATCAGCTTTTTTATATTTTTTTTTATCGGATTCACAGGGGAACCGACTAAATCGGAATCGAGTCGGGTAGGACCACAAGCGCGGCAAAGCTCTCCCTCAAGAGTTTTAACACTGCTGCATTCTCAGGGCTCGAACGCGAGATCACTAATTAAGCTGGAAAAGACCCAAACCATCTCATCCAAGCGCTCTTAAATAGCCTTTTTATATTTGAAAACACCACTATTAGCATCGTTTTAGGATTATCTGTTTAGGCTTTTCTTTATCCTTTATCACTATTTATTTTTGAATATTACACAAGTACCTTATGTTGCTGATACATCTTATTTTATATTATTTATTTTATTTATAATTTAGTTCTAATAAGTACAAGAAAAAAAAAACTTAATTTAACATATTTAAAAATATGACATTTATTTTTTTTAACAAAAATATTTATGTAAATATAATTGATAATTATTACTTTATAATCATTTGTGCATAAAAATTAGCAAGTTAATATTACCAGTTATGATTTTTCAAATGAATCAGCTACTTCTGCCAAACATATCTTTCAAAACTACTAATACTGTCGGCTAGTAAAAAAATCGATACTCAACGGTTAGTTGTTAGCTGTTAGCTGATTGCATTAGCTGTTATGACCAGCGGATTGTATTAGTTGTTCTGACGGGCTGATTGTGTTAGCGGTTTGTAAAAAAATGTTTAGTAAAATTAGCTATTTCAATTAGCTGTTAACATGTAAAATTACTTATAAAGACATCATACTTTTTATCATTCTAATTTATGTTAAAATTATAATTATTTACGAAATAGAAATAGTTAATAATTTTAAATATTTAATAAAGTGATTTAAATATAGTTAAGATATAAATAATAATAAAATAAAAATATTTATTAATTGAGTAAATATTAATTAAGTGATTTAGGGAATTTGTTTTGGAAACCGGAAAGCAAAAAATGGAAGGATAAGAGAACTAGAGGGTGGGCAATTAAGGGGGTGATTGTTTATGAGTTGTACAGTAATTTTTTTTACTCAAATTCAAATTTAACTTAACTTTAACTCAACCCCACTATCTCCAATATTATTATATAATTAAATAACATCAACAAATCATTATTACATATCACATCAACTTTAATTCACTATTCATCTACTCACATAATTTTAACTAATTTTAACTAACTATCACTTCCAATCATTTTCTCTTACTTTTACATCAAATCAACTTTAACTATTATTTTAAATACTATTTTAATCAGTCCCGCTCACCTGCCCACGGTGGGCAGTGCCCACTAGTTTGTTTTATATGAAAAACGTATTCTGAGAATACGTTTTTCAATTAAATTTAATTGAAAACGTACTCTCAGAATACGTTTTTCATATAAAACAAACTAGTGGGCACTGCCCACCGTGGGCAGGGGAATATATTTACTATTTTAATATATCCACTAACAATTAACCATACTATTTTTTCTTAAACTTAACCATAATTAAAAAATTCTAGATTTTTTACTATTCAAAACATAAACAATCACCCCCTAAGGACTTTTTGCTTTTTTATTTGAATCAGCTAATCTCAAACAATGCAAAATGCAGCGTTTTTTATTTCAGCCGATGGACCAAAAAAGCTCTTTTAGAAGCAAAACGCCAATAAACAAATAGGGCCTAACAACTGGTCAAAACTATTACTTCAATCTGTTGACGCTAACTGCTAGTTACCAAACATGACCAAGAGTTATTTTATAAGTCTTACTATAAGGCAAATATAGGGCTGCAAACGAGTCAACCACTCGAGTCAAAGCTCGACTCAAGCTCGATTTGACCGAACTCGAGTCGAGCTCGAGCGGCTCGATCACGAACTCAAGTCGAGCTCGAGCCCATATTTTGCCTTGTCGAGCGGCTCGAGATACACGTATACTACTAAAATACCTCTTAGTATATATATTAGCATAGGTGTTTAACGGTAATTTTACCTTTCCACTTAAAAAATTTCTAGCCAAGCTCGAGCTTTTGATTTCGAGTCGAGCTCGAGCTTGTAATTTTTTATCGAGTCGAGCTCGGGCTCTTCGAACAGCTAAAAAAAATAACTCAATCCAGCTCGATAAGGCAATACTCGACTCGGCTCGACTCGTTTGCAGCTCTAGGCAAATCGACCCATCAAGAAAATATATATACTAAAAAAAATAACTCAATCCAGCTTGATAAGGCAATACTCGACTCGGCTCGATTCGTTTGCAGCCCTAGGCA